CAGCAGTGGAGGACTATTATTTTGCTGCGTGATACTGCGGAAGAACTGATGATGGCACGGTTTGATCTTCGGCTGACCAATCAGCAGAAAGGGGCGTTTAATTCAAGCTATTAATATTTAATATTCAAGCTGCTTATTCATTTTTCCACCCATGAACGAAAAACGAAAATTTAAGCTGAATTCTCGTTTTTTGAAAAAAAAAAAAAACCCGAAAAAGGAGCCGTTTTCTAATTTTTCTACTTTCAATATTAAATCAAAAAACGAATGATCGAATGATACACGGATTCAGCTCTCTTCTAATGAGCTGGTTATCTGAATCAGGTGTGTTAAAATAAGAGAGACGTGCAAAATAAGCAGAGCGGTGGTACTCGACGACTGGAATTGAGAACCACTGCACTATAATAGCAGCGATGTCAAACCCAGAGTGCACCCAATGCGCTATGGTGTTTTATCGCTTCTTGAACTAATTTCCTGACAGGCTCACTCGTGAAAACCACAAAACGCCCACAAGACCATAAATAGCCATTTGCAACACCTCCAATCTGCTCTGAAATTTCATACAATAGGTTCATATAATGAAGGTGTTTTGAGTGAATGCAAAACGTTGTTCTTAATGCGTTTGGCTTTTCATAACTCGATGGAAAAACTGCAATTATTTACTAAACCAACAGCACACCGCTATATCCTCAAAGTCATGGGGTCAAAACATGTTTACTAAATCCTTCGGTCCTCTTGGCAAGATGTGGAAAATTGAAGTTTTGGTTACAAATATTTGCTTTACGTCATTATCTCCCCCGACAGGAGGCACAACTGAGCAGACTCTGAAATAGCCTATCTCATCCATTCAGACAATAGCTGTTCTTAATCATCATTTTTTCCCATTATACACACAGTAATACTGAGTAGCCTATTTGTAAAATAAAGCACTGTGTATGTGTTATGTGAAGCATCTGCCAAGACTCAAGAATAGCATGTGGTCGGTTTCACGGTCAAATAAAAATAATGAAAACACTAAATAATAATAATAATTAAGATATAATAAAATAATAAAGAGAATTCTAGACAATTAAGCATATTCCAAAGATAATCTTAAATGTCATGACATAAACGTTTGCAGAGTTTCACAAATATTTTTGTTATAGCACCACCTTGTGGCCGATTTGTAAAATTGAAAATCTCTTCTGCACACATACAGTTGTGCTCAAAATTATTCATACCCTTGGTAAATGTGATCAAAGGCGGCTGTGAAAATTAATCTGTATCATCAATCCTTTAGATATTTTATTTTAAACATTTAATAAAATCTAACCTTTCATTGGACAATAAGAATTTAAAATGGGAGAGAAATCTCATTATGAAATAAATGTTTTTCTCTAATACACATTGGTCACAATTAATCAATCTCTCCATACCCTTCAGATTTCCAGCTGCATGTTGATGCTTCTCCTCTTCAGTTCACCACATTCATTTTCTATAGGGTTCAGCTCAGGAAACTGGGTTGGCCAGGGCAGAAGCTTGGTTTTGTTCTCAGTGACCCATTTTTGTTTTGATTTTGATGTTTGTTTGTGGATCATTGTCCTGTTGGAAGATCCAACCATGGCCCATTATAAGATTTCTAGCATGGACAGTCAGTTTTTTATTTTTTATCCATTGGTATTTTATAGAATCCATTATGCCATCTATCTGAACAAGATATCCAGGATCTCCGGCAGAAAAATAGGCCCACAACATTAAAGATCCAGCAGTATATTTCATTGTACACATGCGGTACTTTTTTATCCCTGTGTGCACCAAACCCATCTCGAGTGTTTGCTGCTAAAAAGCTCATTTTTTTTAGTTTCATCTGACCATTGAACCCAATCCTGTTTAAAGTTCCAGTCATGTCTAGCAAATAAATATGCTGGAGTTCGTTTTTGGATAAGAGCGTTTTCTTTTCTAGTTTTTTCTTGAAACCCTCCCAAACAACATGGTTTTTTTTTTATAGGCTTTCTGACCCCAAGACTCAACTATTTTCTTGTGATCATTGGAGTCTTTGGCCACTCAAACTCTCCTCCTCACCGTACATTAGGACGATATAGACACACGTCCTCTTACTGTCTTAGAGAAAAATATTTATTTCATAATGTGATTTTTCCCCACTTTCACTTTTTAAAAAAATTATTTTTTACTTTAATTAAAGTTTTTTTTTTTTTTTTTTGAATGAAAGATCAAGTGGATAAACAATGCAGATTTATTTTCACAGCCTTCTTTGATCATATTTATCAAGGGTATGAATAATTTTGAGCACAACTGTATTAAAGCTGCTCTTTGCAATTGAAATTACTGCAACCTTTTAATTGATTTTAGCAGGTGATATTGATTGACTATTGATAATAAAAAGCATGCCGAAAGTTTGCCCTAGAATCAAAATGTAGCTAAATTTTAGCTTGTCTATATTTTGTGAAATGTGGACTCCGCTTTGAGAATTTCAGTTAGCCAGTAGGTTGTGGCTGGTTTCATTGTCTTGTACCTGTAAAATGTTTTGATGAATCAAAATTCTTGGATAAGCATAAGAACATTTGAGTCGAAAGAAGCTTGCTTAAGGAAAACAGAATCAGAGGGAATTTTTTTTAATTTTGCCTTTACAATTCCTTAATATATGTTATAATTCGGGAAAAAAAAAAATTACACGGTGAATGTACAGCTACTTCCACTCCTAAAGAAATTACAATGCAGATAAAAACAATATAAAGAAACAATTTACAAAACCGAAATTCACCACAAAATGCTAAACACAGAAAAACATGATCTATCCAGGCATTACACAATCTGTGCAGTAAAACAGCTTGTATAACTCAAAAGCTTGAAATCTTGCTCTCAGTTTTAAATTAAGAGACTGCATTTTCCACAGAGATTTACAATATAGTTTGGACCTCAGATGATGCCAACCCTGAAACAACATACAGAACTACCACATTTTGCTATAAGTTTGATTGCATCAAATAATAATTGCTGTTAATAGTGTTCATCGTCTGTTTGATTACGTCTTTAATTGATTTTTCCGTACATTTCTGCCATATGTGCATTGACTGACAGTCACCACTGATAAGCTACCACTAAATATTGTAGAAACTTAATTTGCTGTAAAATTGCTTTGCAATGATTTGTATCGTGAAAAGCGCTATACAAATAAACTTGAATTGAATTGAATATAGTTTCTGTCTGTAATGTCCTGTATATCGTCTGTGGTTTAGATGTAATGTTAGGTATAATGTTTTTCATTTTGAATTGCCACTTGACTATAATACGGTAGCTAGTTAACTGCATGTTATACGGACTCTGTAGTTACCGAAAGAAAAGAAACAGCATACACTTTCGACTCGGCTCAACATTCATAAGACAAAACTGAGTGAGGTCTGTAAACCAGACAAATATATTTTGAATCTAATGAAATGCAAATGTAGTGAGCAGTATTGAAGAAACACTGATCCATAAATTTCAAGACATGGGATGAAAATGAGTAGGGCAATCTGCACTCTGCATATTACTTGAGATCTTATTGAATATATGAAGTGCTGAAAATGAACCACCCATTTTATTATCTGAAACATTCTGGGAAAATATTACTGTATCTACAAGAGTTTTTATAATGAAAATACACAATACATTACATATGTAATCCAAAAACATTGCTGATTCTGCCATTTTTTAACAAAAAGGCTTATATTTGTGCTGCCAATGGACTCTTTAGAATTTCATTGTTCTAAATTTGGAACTCAGGAAGATTCTGGGTACTTATAGGGCAGAAATGAGAAGGCGGGATTGTCAGAAATGATCACACACACACACACACACACACACACACACACACACACTAATTAGAGTGATCAGCAGCAATGATTTGTTCTCAGTCTCTGTTGACAGATCTGGGTGGATTGCACCGACCCTGTTTAGTAAAGGTAGTTTATTTTCACCATGGGTTGTCTGTCAACAGCTAGTCTATGTCTGGGGCCCCTGTTGCCAGAAATAGCAATAATTAGGATAGGGAGGGAAAAGAGGAAAAGAGAAAACGTGTCAGACTGCTGGTAGGCCATCCACAGAGGCCGCCCCTGCTTTTTTTCAACTTGCTTATGTATGTGTGTGTGTTTCCTCTGATAATACTACGACCATCCCTAATGAGAAAGAGGCCGTTTTGGCGTACGTGGAGGAGAATCCAATGTTTTGAAACTGTGAAATTGGGCGAGACGAGATTATCTGATACCTGAACAGGCCACACACACACAGAGTCTCCAAATGACAGAACATTCAGAGTGTGTACAAATACCAACTAGTTACAATGCACAGGCTTGCATCAAATGTCTCATAAAATTACAAATAAAATCACAAGAGATACACAATATTTCAGAACCATTAGCCAATATTAGAAATTGTATTAATTTATCCATATTGGTTGATATTATATGTTTAACTTTTCAGTCATTTAACACTTAGAGTTATTCTTAAAAACACTAATAATTTAATAACACTTAAATGTAAACTTTGGCAAATTTCAATATGAAAATACAAATTTTTAATATATAATTTTGTGATGCCTAAATTCACTTTTTTAGTGCATATTTTTTAGTGTTTTATTTTTAATTTCTTCAGACAATATAGTGTACAATTTTTATATCAGTCATTTATTCATCATAAATTGAAATAGTTTAAATATAGATAAACATATGAGAATATTCCATGTCATTATGAACGCTGATTTTTAATTCTCTTGTAAGATTCTGTGGCCACTCAATGTAGATATTGTCAACCTGTTAAGCTGAGTTTGAACTAGAACATTCTAACAACAACCAAAACGATGCTTTAATTATGTTCTAATCTTTTTGGAGAGTGGGTGAAGTCATGCTAGACACACACACTCCCTTTATCCATAATCTCTTGGTCATCCTATATAAACCCACCCCAGCTTCAGGTCTACAAATACCCAAAACACACATGCCCTTGACAAAGAGGACGGCAAGGCAACATAAACACACAAGTAGGAACAGAACAGGACTGTCAAACAACTCCTGAAGAAACTTCCAAAGCACAGATTAATTTGTCAAGAAGGTAAATATTAAAAACACAATATACTTTAATTCAGTTCTGAATTTTGTCCTATAAATGTGCTGAATTTGCTACATTTTCTAAAACAGTTTTTACAATTTCTAATCAGCTTATTGTGTTTGCTGTTAGCAGTTTATCTTAATACATGCAAATATTTGGTCTCCAAACTTTTCTAAACATCATGTTGTGTGGTGTTGTACCCTCAGATGACGTGCTCCAGGTGTTTGCTACTTATTCTGGTTGTCTACTTCTTGATGGACGAGCTTTGTGCTTTCCTGATACCAGAGAGACTGCGAGTGAAAAGAGTAAATATCACATTAATTATATGCCGAGTTAATTCTCTTCTTGAGAGCATATACATTTATATACAGCTTTTAATATAGCATTGCAATAAAAACACTTTAATATGTCACATATTCAAATGCATCTGATTCCCTGCAGAGCAATCACAGGTCAGATCAGGAGATGTCGCCACACATCTATGAGCTCTCTGATCTGGCAGACTTGTTCCCAGGAAATGAAGGGGGAATGACTCGGGACTGGGAACCCAATCCCGCCAAGACTCCCGATTTCTTTTCCCCTATGGAACACATCAATGTGCAACCAGCAAACAGCAACCGCCGCAAAAACAAGGATAAGAGGCGAGTAGAAATATTTACTGTTATTGTATTAAAAAATATTTATCCTAAAATATTTATATGAAAATATTTAAATACAAGTTCAATAAAAATGTATAGAACATTTTTATTTTAATTGCTATAATTAACCTCATAGTATTGAATTCTTTTTAAATGTCTATTTATTTTACAATTTGTAAAGAGCTTTCCAATTTTTTTTTATTTTTTGGATATGGAACTCTTAGTTCTCTGTAGAAGCTATCTCATAATGTTCTCAGAGCCCAAATTCACACACGATTTCTATATTTATTACCCTGAATAGGAGGAGGATCACTGTTCCTCTGGACCCCATTGGAAGCTCCTACTTGTCTTCCAGGAACAGAAAGGTATTTTCAATCAGACAAAACCACAGTGGTTTGACTACATTTATTTGAACTCAACAGATTGCATATCCTATTACTGTAAAAATATATATTTTTCCCCCTTAGGAGGAACCTGAAGAGTTGAAGGAATACGATGCAAAGTGATCAAACTAACAGATTACATATACCATTAAAAAGGACACCTAATGTTGTTTTGGTCCTTTTTCGCTTGTGTGTTTTTTTTAATTTTTTTTATCTATTTTATTGAACTTTTGGTTTCTATTAAGTCATTGGATCTCAGGTTTATAAACTGTGACTTATTTATTTGTATTTATGTTTTTCCAATATTAGCTTACCAGCTCCCTCTAGTGGTATGCAAACTGACAGACGCTGTACTGGTGTTGCTGCAAAATAAAATGTACATGGATAAACTATTCAATCATATCTAATGTTCTTTCAACTTATTTTAAATCACAAAATACATGACGCATCTCAACACAAAAGTTAGATTAGGAAAATAAGACATTCTAACCCCAATAAAGAAAAGTTTTATTTCTCCGGGTAGTTAAAGAAAACAATATCAGATGCAAAAAAAAAAAAAAAAAAAAAAAAAAAAAAAAAAAAAAAAAAAAAAAAAAAAAAAAAAAAAAAAATTTTTTTTTCTCGGGTTTATAAAAAAAAAAAAAAAAAAAAAAAAAAAAAAAAAAAAAAAAAAAAAAAAAACTATTTGCTTTGCTTTTCTCTTCACTTTCAGTTATGTACACTTCTCAAAATCTGTGATATATGTGAAACATGAAGCGAGAGAAGTCTGGCTTTTGGGGATTTTCAATCCCCCTTGTTTCGCAAATAAACCACAAAGGAAAAAAATCCAAACAATAGTCTCCAAACTATTTCAAAAGAAAGAGCTTGTAGCAGAAATGAGTAATCTTTGCCAGTTCTCAAGAGTTTAAAACCCCCAAACACTTCTTGAAAACAATAAATTACAACCATTTCATTCGAGGAAAGCTTCAGCAAAGCTCCTAAATCTAGCATTCACATCTTATTAAACTGAAATCTTCCAAAAAATGTAACACATTGAGAAAAAAAAACAAAACACTACGTTGTGCAAGTAATAAAGACCAAACAGTATTGATAGCTTCTTCGACAAAGTACATGAGTTAACATATTAAGTAGAATTAGATTAAATTAATGTTTGATATCAATAATTGCAACTGAATGGAATCCCTGTTTAAATGACTCATATAGCTCTTTATATTTGAACATCTAATACGTGTTAGCTGACTGGTCAAGTCCATTTGGGTGCGATTTCTTACATAAATATCAAATTAAGAGGTTGTAATCAAATGGTCTTATGATCACCTACAGGAAATGGCATTCAGATTAACACATTACATCTATTAGTCTTCAAACAATGGCATCTATCCCAATGAAAAAAATCAACTGGACCGGTCACTAAGAAAAAATGCATTTTCTAGTAACAGCAGTGTCAACAATTTCTCATAGCAGCTCTTTGGCAAAATCATGATAACATTTTTCTGTATTTTGTATAATTTTTTTTTTTTTTTTTTAACTTTTAAATAGACTCTTATAGTACCAAAGTAACCAATATAGTATACATCTGTGAAAATGTAGTGTGGCTTCTCTAACTTCTCCAAAGGAAAATAGTGCCACTTACTAAATATGTAAGCTGCTTACTTTAAACAAATGACAATTTTGTGTGACAAAGAATAGTGTACGTATCTGTGGAATAGTTACAAATGAACCAAGATCAAGTACCAACTCAGGAGGTAAGAGATCAATTCAAACATTATTTCTCAGCGAACTCTGCAATGGAGACTATTGACTGTTAAGCATGTAAGGAGTAACTGGTCGCCAAAACTAGAACTGCAAAGAAAGAGAGGGAAAAAATGGATTTTGAAAGTGAAAATTGTTTTGGATTCAAAAACTGGAGAACTGGGAACATTCAGAGCTTTGAGGGAATGAAGACCCCTCATCTAAGTGTCTTTCTTATGACTTGACCGTAAATACACACATATATATATATATATATATATATATATATATATATATAGCTGCTGAAAACATATACGGAGTTGACATTTTTCACCACACTGACATAAAATTCTGTAACAAAATATTAAAATCCTTCAATGATTATTTATGAGCATCTCCAAACCATCTAAATCTTCTTCAGTCCCTAATAAACCCACCTGACTCTACCATTATGTCTTCATCCGCAATCCAAGTCTCGCCTTCACTGGAACTCATATCCGCCTCTCTGGTGGCTTCCTCCTTCTCTTCTTTCACCTGGGCCTGTAGTCTGCGCTCAGCCGCTGCTCCCTGGTCCAAATGCTCCTCTCCAGGTCCGAGACCATTCTCTGAGTCTGTCTCGCTGTGGGTCGAGCTCTTAAGCTTCTTAAGGGCTTTGGACTGTTTGGGGTTTTTACTACGCTTGATCCTTGCACGCTTCTCGCCACCGCTGCTGCCGTCGCCAGCGCCTGAACTTAGAGAAAGACGCTTCAGCTTCTTGTCCTTTTTGCACTCAGCTTTGCTGGCCACCTGGCCCTCATAGAAAGGGTCTTTTAAACACATTTTACCCATCAGGGTGCTGTCAGATGACAGCCGCCTCATGCTCTTGTTGCTCTTATTGGCACGAGCCTTGCGAACAAAGGTATGGATGGTGTGCAAGTCCGACGTGCCGTGACTCCAGTTGGAAGCCATGTTTGAACTCGCTCCACCTAAAACGCTGTCTTCACCTGACGCACCAGAGCTGTTTGGAGAACTGGAGGATGCTGGTGACCATGGCCTTTCCTGTGGACAGAGACAGACATCTAGATGGGTCCCATGATATTTGGTCATGCCATTACTGACATCTACAAATACAGGTTGAAAAAAAAAAAATCAGTGCAGGTGCTAAAGAAGATATTCAATGGAACACATACATTGACAGCACAGGTTAAATCATGGGGTGCCCAATCCTGGACCTGCAGAGTTTAGCTCCAACTTGTCGCAAAATACCGATTCTTGTAATCCTGAAGACCTTGATTACATTGGTTCGGGTGTGTTTAATTGTGGTTGGAGCTAAATTCTGCAGGACTCTGGCCTTCAAGGAGCAGGACTGGCCAGACCTGTGGTAAACTATGGAAATCTGTGGTTCTCAATGCTAATCCTGGAATTCCCCAAACACTGCACGTTTCAGACGTCTCCTTAATTGAACACACCTTATTTAAATCACTGGCATTTGGCACCAATAGCTGCATTTTGGATTCTTGGATTATTCACAAATTAGCACAGATAGTTTTTTTTTTTGCACAGAACAGTCAGTTATCTATCTATCTATCTATCTATCTATATATATATATATCTGTCCTCTGCTCTTACAAAATACACTGTAGTTATATGCAAAAGAAAAATAAAAGCAATGTAAAATATATACATCTAAAAAGTGAGTACAGTATAGCGTTGACATGAGGGCACATGGACATTATATATTCTGTGCATGCTATTTGAAAATTACATAAAAAATAGGCTTGTGATTTTATTTCTATCATTCTCTCTCCCATCTTGTACAGAATTTATATTTTTTCTAATATAAAAAAAAACTATTTGTGTATAATGAGGCACAGATTATTTGATTTATTTTAAAAATTATAAAACATTTTCATGATCAAGTCAATATTGTTAATTTTGTAATACATTTCAGCACTATTTTTGTAAATACTGATTTTAAAAACCACCGGCCAATTAATCAGTTAACTTAGTTAATCTGCAAAATCCAGTATTGGTTGAATTCTACTCATCAGCACATTAGTACATGCTTGGAATGAGTGTCAAAAAGATGCAGCACTAGGACGTCTCCGGGAACAGGAATTTAAAAAGGGCTTTAATGCATTAAACCACACCTAAATGTGAAACAATGCTCCATTCTTACCTCCTTTGGAGAAGGGATGTAACCAGCATATGCAAGAACAAAACTGCAAAACTTGTTGAAGTCCTCCACTGTCCTCTTTCTTCTCTCTGATGGCTGGACATGAAAATTATTTATTAGCATTTGGACAAGCACTGCCATCTGTAGGATGAAAATCTAATTTCCTTGTTTGATTTACCAGAGTCTCTGCTTTGCATTTCAGTAATGAATCTATGTAGAAAAATGAAGGGGAGAGAATAACATTAATTCATGGCTAAATAACTCGTTTAACCGAGAAAACGTTGCATTTGGAATCGATTTGTGCAGTTTTCATTTTTACAAACCTGGTGAAAGTGCGTTTTCGACGGCAAGCTAACGCGCTAACTGTGCTATTCCTCGCGACACCCTGTTGATTGATGCGTAAAATTCAAGTGCGCAGGGCACCATTTTACATCCAAATATCTACACAGTTTAAGGGACTTTAATTGTGGAGAAAACTAAACTAATTTAGTGACAAAAACCTTAAGCTAAAGCAGTCATAAAGGCGAGAGAACGCAGCAGCTTGAGGCTTAAGCCTTACTTTCGACGTCGAAGTACGCCAAGACAACTTTTCTGGTTTGGGAACTCTTATAAAAGCATGTATGGTTGATCATGATGTAGTTACAACGACCAAATCGGTAAGTGTTGAGTGGAAGAGACCCCATCGGCAATACACTTACCCCAGCGTAACAAAGAGTAACGTTACAGTCAGGCAGCGAAATGCTACCACGCTATGCGGGGACCCGTCTTAAAGCAACATTTCTGCCTTAAATGGCATTGAAATATCAGAGAAACAGCCGATCTGTATACCAAATTAAAACGATTCAACTGGCACCTGGTTAAAGTGATCAATAACAGCAACTGATTTGAAATTGAGCTGGTTTACTTTGCGAAGACAAAATGCGCAACGCTGCGTAACTGCGGTTTTGTAAACGTGCCCATCATTTGAACTGAAAGCAGTGGTTGGATATCATGAATGTTTAAATTATTTATGAATTACAGCTTTAACAAATGGCTACAATCAACAGGAGTAATTTAACTCTATTGCACAAGATAGCAACTGGGCTAACGTTAATCCCCGTATGAGCCAGCTCGTCGGCGCAGTAAAGTGTCCTCTTTTTCATTACCACAATCAAACATTACTAAGTGTCTGGCAATGAATCAAGTTTACTAGTGACACCGGTCTGCTAAACTAAAGAGTATGTAAAGTTACTGCAGTATTAAAGCTGCTAACAGGCTAAGGTAACGTTAGCTGGCTCTGCTAAAACTGAACGATGATGATGGGTGTTGCCTATCACAACATGGTTAAAGTTTGAATATTTGAAATTCAAGTCTTGGGTTTTCCTTACCTTGGTGTTCGGACATTATTTCAAGCATTGTCGCCTAATAACCTCGATCCTCTTCAGTTGGGTGACACCGTGCAGCGTCAATCTTCGCCCGGCTTGAGCGCAGCAAGCCCCGGCTGACTAGCTGTAGTCTAGTTAGCTGGGCATCAGAATGATTCAAACGACGATTTTACTTCGTTTTACAAACTGGTCCGATGAAATATCGCTGGATCTTAAATCCCGGGAAAGATTAATTAACTTAATTTTGGCCAGCAAGCAGCGCTGCAAAACATAATCCAGCTGGCAGTTCAATTACCTAACGGACCACCAAGTAAAAAAGAACCAATAATAAAACCAGGGATCCAGCATGTTTTTGCAACTAATGTTAGTAATATAAATGTACGCTCGCGCTATTATCCCTTTTGTTGCGATGTAAAATTTTCTCTCCAAGCCTCTATGGGACATGTAGTTCATCCAATGAGACTTGCGAGACCACAAGATCCAGGGGGCGTGGTTGGATCCAGATCCAACTCCTCCTACCTTACATACCTAAACCTACCTGTCTCCACCCCCTGATTCCGAAACCCACCCATCTCCACCCCCTATATGTGAATCCAACCACGGTCCCTGGATCTTGTGTTCTGCAGTGAGGGGCTACTGAGATTTGCTGACAGATGGCCCTGAATCCAATGACGAATAAACAACAGTTCCCATGATTCATTGCGGTAGTCGCTATATTCATGGGAAACTGAGTTTATCTGTTCCAATTCTATGGTTTTGTGTTTGCTCTAAGCGTAGTACGCAGGTATAAATAAATAAAGGTACATTTATTAACTTTCATCTTTCTATGCAGATCGTTGGACATTTCAATCAATAAGTAAGACCTGTAGTTAAACAGGCTGGTTTCCTTGTCATTTCGGTTGCCAGTGACCAGGGCCGTCGCTAGTGGGGTGAAAGGTGGTGACGATTATAGGGGCCCACGGCTGAGGAAGGGCCCCCCCGGCGATGTTTTTGATGGGCCACTGCTGCATGTCATCACGAAAGCATATCAATTGCACGTGTTTTTAAGCCTTGCTAATTTAACCATTAAAAGAGTTTAAAGCTTTGAAGCACAAGATGCGAAAGAACTGAACCAAGTGCTCGCGCACCGAGTTCGGTGCCCACACAGAGAGCCGCGTCTCACAGACAGTGCTCAAACACCGAACCAAGCTCTCCTTCGATTCCTCACGCACCTGAACAATCAAATATACCTCACCAGTTTAAACATACAAACACAAAAAGACGAGAAAAGCTTAATTCAGCACCTGCAAGCTGTGTTATGTGCGACTATTTATTTATTTGTGCTATTTATACAGTTTCAAACAGGGCCCACGGGTACAACCAGCACCGGGGCCTCGCAGACGTATTAATCCTAAACCAGTGGAATGGCCAAGCATCTGTACGCCACGAAATAAACATTTATCTTTGAAAGGGGGTGCTTGCGGCGCGTATTTGGTTCGTAATAATCTAAAATAATTAAAATCTAGCAAATATGTAGTACGGGTTGGGTGTCCGCAGGCCTGAAAGTGTAATCAGAATCAGATTTTGCTTTATCCGCCAAGTGTGTGCAAACACAAGGAATTTGTTGTGTTTTTTAGGAGCTCTTGGTACATACATGACATGAGAACAGAAAGAACAATTAAATAAGACTAAAGAAAAAATAATAATAATAACAATGTGGTCAAATCTGGAACAGAAGATTTATGTACAGATTTGTGTATTATTTACTGTACAGTTGTATAAATAAAAATATGTATTTACATAATACTTGAAAGACAGGCAGTTGCTGGAAATGGAGAAATGAATTAGGCTACAGAAAACAAGTAATCATTTCTGTGCTTTAAAGGGGTCATATGATGCGATTTCAATTTTTCCTCTCTTTGGAGTGTTACAAGCTCTTGGTGCATAAAGAAGATCTGTAAAGTTGCAAAGACTAAAGTCTCAAATCCAAAGAGATATTCTTTATAAAAGTTAAGAGTCAGCCACACCTACCTA